TTAAAAAAAGATTTGGAAGTCATTTTCTTAAAAGAGGTGTTTTTAGGTAGTTTTGGAATTTGGAAGGCAAGACAATATAGAGGAATTTAGGAATTAAAGAAATTTCAAGAATAAATAAAGATCAAAATAAATTTTTATTTTAAGAAATAACTTTGATTTTATGCAGGCAATCAGCTATGATTACTCCATTGTAATATCAAGACTATTTGTCCTAGTAATAAATTTAATGATTATAGACTTAGATCATTTCTTATTTGTAAATAGATCAATTCAATTGCATATTGGTTACACCTATTAGAATCTATAAATATCCATCTTTTATTTCATATATTTCTATTTTAGTCATATTAGATAATAGATATATAGTTGTTATGTTGTAACATGGAAATAAGATATATATATAAAAAAATTATACTTTAAAGATTTATGGATAAAATATTGAAAGATAATAAATACATTTAGTGCTAATGTTGTCTTATTACTAAAAAGCTTTTACTTACTCTATAAATCCATAAACAAGAAAAAATAAATTAGATTATATATATATATATAAGCATCTTTAAGAAAGAATTAAGAATATTTTTTAATATAAATTATCTTAAAAAGATAAAAATTAATACTTAGAAAAGACTAGTTTTGAATCAAAGTCAAAACCAAATCCTAAGGCACAGAACTTTACAACTACTACAATTCTTGGATTTTCTTTGTTGATCAAAGAACAAGATTAGTTAGTAGACTCTATAGAATTAATTTAAGTATTAATTTTGGATGATTTGGATTGATATTAAATTATTGAAGGCTTTTTAAAGTCAAGGGTGTTTTAAGTGATTTAAAATTTTTAAAAATAAAAAAGAATTTATATTTTTAAAAAATTTATAAGGAATGTAGCAAATTAATGAGTAAAATTTTAAAGAATTATAAAAAAAAATTTCCTTAAATTTCTTTTATGAATTTAAGTTCAATCAATTTATATATAAATTTTGAAGTGAAATCAATGATTTAATTAATAATTATTGAGATTTTAAAACTACTACAAAATTTTATTAGAACTGATTAGTGTTATATTAAGCTTTATTTAAAATTTGGTAAAAATATTTATTAAATTTTATTAGGATTTATTAAGTTTTATTTAAAATTTTATTATAATTATTAGGATTTATTAATGGTTTTATTATTAATTCATTAATATTTGATTAATATTTATTTATAATTAAATTAAGATATTTTTAGGATTTATATAAATATTTTTTAAACCTTTATCATTAAAAAATTATAGAATTTATTTATAATTTTTATAATAATTTTTTAAAGTTTCTTTAATATTATTTAAGATTTAATTAAATTTTAATTAAAATAACTTAGATTCAATCAAGATTTATTTAGAAATTATTAAAATTGTTAGATTCTTTGTTTGTTGCAAAATGCAAATTATCTTCTACAACTAGACACTTTGATACATTTTCAAACAAAACAATATATAAAACAACATTGAAAAGAAGCAAGATGACATTTATGTTTATAAAAATAGACAACAATCAAAAATTTGAGGTAGAAGAGGTCTTATATTAAACGCAAAGTCAAAATAGATTAAAATATCTTGCACATTGGTGTGGATATGATATTTGTAAATGCATATGGGAGCCATTCAAGAATCTTATAATTCCAGCGAAGAAGGTTGATGCTTTTAATCAACAACATCCTTCAAAACCAAGATAAAGAGTCAAAAAAAATCCTTGCTATAAAACAAAGTATATTCAATGAAGATTACATTTTACATTCTATCATTGTTTGTGATTCTTTTTTGTAATTGTAATATTAAGGAGATGTAAAATCAACAACCAATAGATTCAACTCAAAAACTATCTTTTATTAAGTTACCAAATATGTTGTTTAGATTATCAAAGCATTTAAGACAATATAATAAAAAATTAAGGTCTTTAAGAATAACATGTTATTTTTTCAAATAGATAGCAAAATATAATGCATTTGGTATCACAATCTTAGAAGAGATTCTCAATATTTAGTGATATTATTAGATATAAGAATCATTCTTAATAGTGTTTCAAATATTTTATTTCAAAAAAGTTATGAAGATGTCAATAATGATCTAGTAATAGGATAATTTATTTGTCCTAGTATGAGACACTATCAATGGTTGAGAGGAATTATCAACTACTTTCAACAAGAGCAAAGATCAAAGTATAATGCAAATACAATTTATTGCATCTTGGACTTTTATAACATGTAATCATTATTCCTTGTCAAACTTATCTCTAGAAGAAAAGGGTGGAGGAGAAGAGGGTAATGTCATAAGCATACATATTAAAATTAGTATTTGCTTAGATAAGAAGAATTAGATAGAAGTAGGTAAATTTGATAATATCTAAAAGAAAAGTTTCTTAGAAGCTTTATAGACTTAGATTTGACTTTCTAAGTATTTGTAGGTGATTAGTAGGTTGAAAACTTGGCTAATAAGTTGGCCGCATGTTGCACATGTTGACCACTTGCTTTACAAGTTGGTCATGTGGTGTACATGTTAGAAACTTGTCTTGCAAGTTGAATACGTATTAGATGATCTATAGAATGTCACCACATAGTTCTTTAGTTAGACAAAATATATAAAAGTAAGAATAAGGCCTTCCTCACTATTTTTAATTCTTTTTGCTTCTAATCTAGTTTCAAGAGTTTGTAGCTTTCTTATCTTTAGTAATAACCATTTAAGGTTTTTCTTAAATATTCACGTTCTTTTATTTTCTTTATGTCATCTTTTTTTGATACACATCTCACACATTTAATTACATTTTTCAAGTTTTTGTTCCTAGCAATAAATATACATGCAACAAATGCAATAAAAGAATTTTAATTAAAAAAAATAAAAATTATTTGGTAGAAAAGGATTTTTAATTGATTTTATTTTATATTCTTTTGTATCTCTAGTAGTGCTGAAAAATCGATAGATTGTACTACTTAAATCTAAAGAATTTTTCTAATTAATATCTTATGATTCCTATATTTAGTTTTAACTTAAACTTGAAAACAATCTAATACAACAAATAGAAGAATTTGTATTCTACTAGATTTTAATAAAGAAAATATGACTATTAAATATGAAAGTTGAAGTGCTCAAATAAATCTATTCTATTTAGTTGGTTTGAAAAATAAAATAATCATATTTAAAATAATATTTTTAGAAGAAAAAAATGGATCTAATTAATTAGAAAAAAATATAATAAAATTATTCTATTATTATATTTGTATATATAATAATGATTATATATAAATTTTTGTACTAAAATATTTGAAATATTATATTATATATGGTACTAATTATATTTGAATTAAATCTCTTTATATAATTTTTTAAAATCAATTTCTAAATAACAAACAATATTAAGTGTTTCAAGTAAATATATTTCAAAATTAACTCAAAAAAAGAGTAGAAGTTATGAATTTAAAGATGGATATTTATGAACTTAATTGCAATATATTCTTATTATGTCTTCAACATTATAGATAAAATATAATTATATATTAAATAGGAAATTCTTTTTAGCAGAATTTATTTATGACATGTGTAGAAGATACAGTTACAAACACCTTGTTATATAATTTTCAATTAATTAAAGAATATTCTTATTTATCTCTATTTCTTATTCAATACACTTTTCACATAGTATTACATAATTTGAATGAACCATTAAAAATCCATCCATCTAAATTATTTTTGTATATAATTTCTCTCTTAAATCTATCTACCTTTAATATTAAACCTCATTCTATTGATTAGCATAAATCTTCTAAAAGTCCCAAATTCAAGAAATTTATTGAAGTACTAATATCTATTGGTAGGATAGTAACAAAATAGCATAATAACTTATTTTACAAGATGAGTAGTAACAATTACAAATTATGTGTAATTTAAAATATATATATAAAATTTAAATATATAACATATAATAAAAATAAAATAAAATAATCTTAGATTCTTAGAACAATTACAACAATTAGTTAGTAAAGGTTGCAATACATTTTAATTGTATATGAACACAAATAATTGAATATTTAACTATGTATATTCAAATATGATATTTTAATACTAATAAGAAAAATATTTATGTAATATATATATATATATTAAAAGAAATATCTAAATCTTTTCCTTATTTTTCAATATAGCAAACAACATTACAATATAAAAACAAGTATAAAAATTAAAATCAACATTCTTCTTAATTACATCAATATAGAATTAACTACAACCATATTAAAAATAATTACATTATTTTATATTAAAAATTATTATTATTATTGTTATGTCTTTTTTAAAGATAAGTTTCAAAATAAATAATTAAACAACTTCAAATGTATTATACAACATTCTAATTTGCATTAGACAAAAAACCATCAAAAAACTTTAAAATTAAAGATTCAAATCCAAAATAGATAATTATAATCAACCAATTGAAATAATTAGATTTTATTATAGATTGCAATAAAAACAAAAATAAACCAAAAATAAAATAATATATGTTTAGAGAGATGATAAAACAACCCAAATTTTTACTAAACTGACCCACATATTTAAACCATCATTGTACTCTTTCAACTCTGTTCTTGTTCCCAGCTATTTCTTTGTTCCCAACCATCACCCCTATTCTCAACGTTCCCAGCTCCCTCACCTCATCCTTAACAATGGTTGAAAATGGGGAATGGTTAGGAACAAAGATGGAAGTTGCAAAGATATCATTGCAATGATGGTTAAGGTAAAGTTGGCCACGTTAGTAAAAATTTGAGTTGCTTTATCATATCCCTTTATATAATATATTAAACTACAACATATCAAACACCAAAAGCACCAAAAGATAATCTTTGCAATAAATATGACATAGGCAAGCCATCTATGCAAGACTATTTTTAATTAGGCTAAACCACAATCTATAATTATAGCTTCATGTGCACAACAATAGAAGTGGTCTTACAACCTAAACAAGACTAAGAATTACACACAATAAAACATCACTAATTAAAAATAATATTGTCCTGATTATGACTGTCCCTAACAAGGAGTAGTAAAACATTATGAGTATAATCAAACTCGTCACCAGCATTGTAAGAAAAAAGTACTACATCGATAGGACTGTTACACAACAAACTGTCATATAAATAACAATACATTATCTGCAAACTTTCCTTTGATTTAGAAGGAAATACTTTACGTCGAGAAGTTAAGCAGCAAAACTTACAAGAATGACGCTACTACGCTCAACAGTAGGACGGAGGAAAGGAAAATCTAGGTTTCATCTTCCGTACATAGACGCTATCCAACAGAGATGATTCAAAGATGGAATCGAGTTGTGTCACACTGAAAAGTGCCACACTAGCCTGTAGTACGCTGCAACCACTGCCAGTGAGCAGGACACTGACTAAGTGGAGTGTTGCCGTCTTTGTCAGCTATGTTGATGTTAGCTCCATGCTCAAATAGGTACTTCGCAACCTCTTCCTGATTGCTAAGTATCGCGTGATGTAATGCTGTCTGCCCCTCTACATCCTGCAAATGACAGAAAATAACCGAATTTGGAAACAGAAAAACACAGTGATTCTTCTCCCATTGAAAAATGGCAAATATCCATGCTTCAGCTCTAGTGACAGTTCTCCAAGAATAGAAACAAATCATGAAAGACGGCAAACACACCTTAGTATCAATTTCCGCACCCTTGGCTACAAGAACCTCCATAGCACTCACATTGCCACGGTCTACTGCCCAAATCAAAGGTGTAAGACCATCACTGTCTGCATTCATGACAAGCATACTACAAAAAATTACTTAGCATGCATAATATGTGTTCTCAAACAAACATTGTGAACCTTCAACATGTGCCAGCATTGAAGCATTGTTACCATTTTAGATAGCGGCAGACTGAACAAGATCACTCAGATGTTCAATCAGATTAAAATGCGACACTAAATCGCTGGACCTGATCAATGTGCTCCTTTCTCCCAAGTTGCACAATATGAGTTAACTGTCTATACTTGACTAGAGGCTCTAGGTTGCTATCACATTAAGGTATTTATTGAGAAGCACTTCAAAAGAAAAGAAAAGAAAGTTAAGTAAAAAGGGTTAAATAAAAAATTTGACTAGCTAGCCAAGCCTAACAGTACAGATACTTCATACAACATCGACTCAAGGACGAGGTCAAGGAATAAAGATGTACCCTTCACATCAATAGAACGGCCTTGTTCCAGAAGCTTGGAAAGACCTTGCAAATCTCCATCTCTAGCACATGTATGAAGTGCATCCATGGTACTACAATACACAAAAGCAACAGATGAGCCAAAGTAACCAAACAACATGTCTTCAAGTACAAGACAACTTCGTAGCTTGCCAAACACAATAAGGCATAACATGTGTATTGACAGCTGTATTTGGCAATGGCACAAAAGACTTACATAGAACTTAACATTAATGAATACAGAAATGCTGCAAGTAGAGCCACAAAAGCAGCACCATTCATGCAATTCACAAAGTCGTAAAGAAATTATACCTTGTCCCTTCAACATCATCAGTTGCGGCCAGGGAGCTAAAAGCTGGACCCGGGTTCATATTCTTACTGCTAGAGTGTAAGAAGGCTCCCTCTAGCTCCTCTGTTGCTTCTACAGATGAATCTTTACCCTGCATAAAAGCTCAATATACTTCAGAGGGATCGTGGACAGGATACGTCCACAGAAATTCATGAACTGAAGACAAAAGTCCAAAGATGGAAACAGTCTTGATTGGTACCTTTTGATGACTCTGATGCCAAGTGGGATCAATTGCAGTCAAAACAGCAACATATTTTTGCATAGCCTCCTCTTGAGACATATTTCCAAGCTTCTGCCACGCAATCCTTGCACAAATAGATGATACCACAATAGCAGTCCAATTTATAATCCGCTGTTAACACCTGCGATTGTAACCTATGTCACGGCTTACCCTACTGTACCCTGCACATCAATCTTTAAAATTGGGTGGGTGGAGCTGAAGCAAATTTGAGCAAGAGCTTCATCTTATAAATGTTGAAGGAAAAAACTAAGGCATACATCCTTACCATCGGTTATTTATACTAGAAATTTCGATTCAGCTAACAAATCGAACATGTCGGGCCAGAGGGAATTTACTAAAACAAAGATCAAGCAGTGTACCATTTAGCACGGGCAGTGGGTTGAAAAGCTGATGGCTGAGGGGTAGAGCAAGGCCCTTCAGTGGCTATTTTGTAGTATGCATACAACTGAAGCATCTCTTCCCTTGAAGACTTAGCACCTGGTACATTAATCACAGATGCAACATACGTAGAAGCAGCTCCAAAAAGCTCCTCCAGCTCAGTACTTTCCACACCTTCCCAATCATCTGTTACATTCCCTTCCTCAATTTCTTCAGCCACATCCTCACGCTCCTCATCAGCCTAACACAGTAAAAACAACGGGCAACTTTAGAATAACCAGAATAAAATTCAGGGTTAGGACACTGCTATTGATTGTGCTAACCACAAACTAGAAAACAGAACCAGTTCAAGATCTAGGTCTTGATCTTAGAAACAGCATCTGAAGATGAGAATCATGACCCAACATCCTCTGTTCGCAGCAGTTTTATATGAGCCCAGACAATGACATCGCGTAGAAACAATTCAAACCTCATGTCCAACCAAGACATAGAAGCGATCTTGTTAATTGAAACTTAGAAAGAAAAAAAAAAAAAAAAAAAAAAAAAAAAAAAGCAAAAACAAAACAAAACTAAACAAAATAGCGCATCAGAATATAAAAAGAAGAAAGCAACTTCCATGAAAATCTTTAAGAAGGAGAGACAAATCGGTGACACACATCAAATTCTTAAACCCAGGCTTAAAAAGTGGACCACTGATTTCAAGAACGAAACCTTCAGAAAATTTTAGTTTTCAAATCTTTAAGAGCTTTCCAAGAATACCGATAACGTGGTCTACCTCAAATGCAAGCAGCATTCAAGTCCTTGATGTGCTTCAGGTTTTTTTCCTTCGATTCCTCACTGCACATATTACTCCCTATAGGTAGCTATGTTCCAAGACAAATACAATAAGACAAAAACGAGTCCAACGTCTCCATGAACTGAACACTATCAGATTTGAACGTTCAGTTGAATATTTGGAATATTGGGGTTTTTGGTAAGGAGAAGCGATGAGAGAATGCCAATGCTCCAACTATGAATAAGCCAGCCCACGACTGCCTTGGACAAGGTGATCCTAATAGAATTATAATGAGTTTACGATAATTATATAATTCTTCAGCATTTACTTGTTTTGGACACTTTCTATACATAGGTTTAAGAACAGTGATCTGCTCCGATAACTTTTATCAGTTCCAACCCCACTCACTGGTCGTGGCTCGAGTGTAAAATGAACTGATATAGAAAGCTAGTAACAACAATAACCAATCGAGGTAGCAAGTATTTCCAAAGGAGCATTTGAAACAAACCAACTGCATAATTTGCAACTTAAAATCAAGGTCTATCAATTAGGCTCAATAAGGAAGTATATACCTCCTAGAACCTTGATCAATTACTACAATATGTCCATAATGCGTGACTACTAGAAGAAGATATTGATTAAGGAAATCAGGAATGGTGAAGAGCAGTTGATCCTCGGAAAGCTAAAGAGATGAGTTCAAGAGCATATTGCTTGAGAAGAAGATTAAACAACAATCAAAGCATGAGCAGTAAACTTACTAGGACTTTCGAAGAGTCCTTGTCAGAGACATCAACTCTGTCATCCAATTTCTGAGCGGATGTCGTGTCCTCGATTATATTTTTGGCTTGGTCCCCATCAGTCTCAGATGTAATCTTCGAATACGATGGAGAATCGGTAGCGAGAAGATAGTGGGAACGTTCGATACCGTAGTCAGAATCAGAGGACGAAGAGGATGAGTCATAGCCATGAGCCACTTGTTCGTCCCCTCCATCGAAGGCATCTAATTCCTCCTCAATGGGGGCATAAGGAACATTAAGCTCAGCTGCAGGAGCATATTCCTGTTCGTCAAAGGTGGTGGTAAAGAGAGGAGCCGCTGCGTTCTCTCCGCCCCGCTCAAGTCGAAATTTCTGATCACGAATAGATGATATAAGTGTGAAGAGCCTTCCACACATATAAGCAAAAACAATACCTATGATAAGAGACTGCACAGCATCCTGCCACTCCCAGTCCGCCATGGCTGTGGGCGACTTTCAAGCAGGGGTCTCTCTTCAAGAATTAACCTCCCGCAATGCCTTTCCTTTCACGTCCAGCACATACAATCGTCACAACCCCAAATACGAGAGGATATTGGGCACTTGCTGTTGGTGAAATGTATCTCAAATTCAGAGAGAAAGAAGCCGCACCAGATGGAACGTGTTACAAATCAGGGCGAGGAAGATCAAAACAATTAGACTCTTCCGCTCCCTTCTTCTCAGTGAATCCCCGATCCCGTCATATCTCCGTTCTAGTTCCCGACCAAACTGTTCTGGAAAAAAAGCACGACGTGCAACCTAACTGAAGTCTCGCAGCAACGACTCGAAAGCACGGAAGCGCCTACAAAGCAATCCGCATCTCATCTTACGCTTTCCCTTTCTCGGTTGGATCCGATAGAGTAAATCCACATCGGCGTCAATTTGCAGCAACAACCGCGGCCCTCGTCACTAGGAATGGCATAAAAAACACCAAAAATCACTCCCCTTAGCAACAGGTAACGTGAAATCCTGCCCAATCCTTACAATCCACTCCAAGCAAATGAGAAGTTGCACTTGATTCAGGCACTCTGACCCACACGACACTGACTCTTCGCAAATTGCACGCCGCATTCAGCAGCTACAAATTTCTCTTAACGGTAAACTGGAGAGGGGACGGTGCGGGGGGTGGGTTGCCAAGGCGGCCCCCCGTCCGACCCAAAAAAAGATAAAAGCAATCCCAAAGACAGAGAAGAAGGGCCCAGGAGCATCAAATTGACGCAGTTCTTGACCAATCCCGGCATATTCCGGGCCAAAACATGGAGCATCGCAGGACGAGATCACTGCCAAGGCGAGCATGGAGAAATTCGCGTCGTAAAATGAAGGACGCAGGGTGTTCTGCAAGCAAAGTCTCCTGCGACCGTCCCTGTACTTATCAGTCACCGCGATTCTCCAGGTACTCTCGGTCATTCCTGCTTCAGTCGGCAGCTGCCGCCCATTCCATCTCGCGGTCGCTGGTTTGCATTCAGGCTTGCAGGCCAGCTGCCAATCTTCGCCGCAGTTCGAGGTCTCCGGTCACCGGGCTAGATACAAGTTGCCTCTACTTCTGCGCCATTCCTCCTCTACCGATCTCCGAATTGAGACCCACCACTCCAGGCTCCCACAATTCCAATCAGAATTGAATAATTTTTCAGAGCGTCTATTCGCGAGAAGAAAAACATAACCCTCGATTTCTGAAATAATCTTTGGTAGCGTGTGCGAAGCTGACCTTCCCCAATCGTAATACAACTTGTGCTAAGAGACATATTAGTTACCGCTAGCGACAGTGTTGCAGATGTTCCAAAGGATATGTGCTAAATTTGTGATGTGGATGAGGGGTGTCTTCAATCCATGAAACCAGCGATAATGCCATCTTTGTTTGTAGTGAAGAACCTGTGTTTCGACAACAGTCCCTCAAGAAAATATCAAATGCACTTTTCAGTCGGTTCTGCTAAGCCTAATCTGCTTACCTAGCCGCAGCATTTGGTGAGCATTCGGCACAACCAGTCCATTGCACAAATGCGTCACCAAAAGACGTTGTTGAGCGGGGAGTGTGTTATCAAAATGCACAAGAAAGCCAAAAGATAACAAGCGCAATATCCCAATTGGTTACTTGGGTTTCTAACTCAAAGCGAAAATACCATAACTGTCAAAAATATCACATTAAATGCATCGTCGACCATCAGGTCAAGTACTCATTCTTACAGCAAAAAAGTTACTAACCAGGGCTGCACGAGGAAGTGTATTGACTCAGCTGATGTGATCTATGTACAGGATCACACTAAACGATAGGATTCAGCACTGAGATCTCAAAATACGCATGACCGCCAGGTATACAAAGCCGGTTGAAGAGACCTTAAGTGACTGGTCCGACGGTGTTGTTTATTGACGCGGCAAATTATTTCAGTGACAAAGTTCCCTGCAGAGGGTTCACCTTATTCGTGTAGTTCCTATGTTGGTGTTAAGAAAAATGTCTGCCCACGAAGGAACAGAAGTTCCTTCTGAGTATTTTTTTGACTAATGTACAGCATACTCCGAGCCTGGTCTGTTTTCTAGCACTGAACTGAGCTTAGCACCTATACAAGCAAGGTCAAAGCCCCTGACAAAATCGGTAATTGCCGCAAAATTACTGCTCTGTAATGGTAAAAAAAAAAAAAGTGTCCTCCTGGACCATGAAAGGATGCAGATGATTTGACTAGCTAGCTGGCCATCCACATTGCTATTGTGAAAGCCGGGATGTCTGAAGGAAACCATCGTTGCTAGTAGGTCCACTCGATGGGGAGGCAAGGCTCATGAACCGCGGGTTGGCGTAGACTTGATCGGTTCATGCTCTTTTGCAGAGTGGGCCATACCCCTTCTCTTGGGATTTCGGCATGCCTGTGTGCATTTGACACACGACCATGTACAGTAGCTGTAGGTGAATTTTCTACATAAGCAATAAGATTCCGTTAATCAATGAGGAAGAGATATACAGAGGCTACATCAATGTGACGCAAATGAGACGAAACCACACATGTATGATATGGTTTGAACCAAATACGATAGCTGCAAACTGATCTGACACTGAAACACAAGAGTTGGGTGCAGTAACAACATCGGCACTCACCATTCTGCCTCGATGAGGGAGGCTTCTTCTGGACAAACACGCGGGGTAAAAATACTCCAGTTCCAGACTCCCGACGAGTATTGGCTCCCAGGAAAACGACACGCATACTGGAGCCCCCGTTCATAACAGGACGACGAGTCCTTTGCATTGTCTTACTATCGACCATTTTCCCTGGACGAGTATAGTTGTTGACACCTCGTTGTGCATCTGCGTGGTATGCTTGTTCGTACTGATAGCACTGGGTGCGACAGGATTGTCCTTGGTTGTCTGGAACAATCGTTGCTTCATATTTCATAGCCCAGTTGCGTTCGGCCTGCCATTCAGTGATGTTAGGCATCTTCAATTGTGCGGCAGCGATGGGCATACAAGTCTTAACCAAAACAATAACATTTCCATCCAAGAGGGAAACACTACCGTGTATACACTAGTAATATCAATAACTCAGGGAATAATGCAACACTTATTTTGTACACCAAAACTGACATATGTTGACATAAAAAAATCAGTACCTGATTGATAGCCATCGGATTTTCGTCCTTCCTGTGCGTGTAAGACAGTAATGTCCTTCCCCCCATCTGTCCAGATTGTCGAGTAAGCTGAGGAACACGATTTCGTAGACCCGAGTCCAGAAGATTCGAGGGAGATGACCTCGAATTCTTCTTTCCCTCGTTCATTTTCAATCGTACAACCTCTCCAGCTGCTGCGTAAAGAGTTTCCCAAGCATCCTGATAGCCAGATGAAGGCGCAGACGAGGGTGAAGAGACTTGGGATGACACCCTTGAAGAACCTTTAGAGCTACTTCGGCTGCCCGTAAGCTGGGATCTAGACGACCAGCTTCCGCTTGACCAACTGGAAGGTGACAGTTGACCCTGCGGCAATAACAGCTTGATCAGGGCTAGAGTGACAAATTATGACCGACACACGCTCACACACACTACAGTGTACTGGGTCCCTCGCAAACCCGGCTGAAGAAGCCCTTTGTGACAATAAACTTTCACACCATGTTTAGCCCCGCATTGACAGACAATCGACAAGCAGCAAGTGCGAAAGCGGCTCCACACCATATCACACAAACTTTCGGAACAGAATTGAGTGCAAAGACGTCTTTCCTACAATCATACGCTTTCACTGGCATTTCAAAATTAACGTCCTGGCAATACGGTAAAGGATAGGAACTTCTATCCGAGTAATTTAAGGGGACAGTACATTCTCAGTCTGAAATAAGTCCTGGTGCAAGAATAGAACCATACTCACCTCAGAGTAGCCATTATCCCGGAGAATTCCAACATGATCCGAAGTTTTCTCTTCACCAAGCATGGAATGCGCAACCTGCTTGGCCAAACCCTGAAAGAGGTCACCTTCTTCATCACTCTCGGTCTCAGTGGAGCAAGATGACAACGACTCCAGTGGCCAACTATTACCATCCCCACGTTGGTCGTAACCTCGAAAATAATACGAAAGGTCGGCTAAGTCGTGTGGGTGAGGCTGAGCTCCCAGTGGTCTGCAGGACTGTGAGTAGGCCTGGTTGTCTCCAGCCGCAAGACCTTCCTTCTGAAGCGCTTTGAACCCACCTTCGTCTCCGACCCTTGAGCTTATAAGCCCATGAACTCTGGCAATCTCAAACGCCATACCTGATATTTGATTCGAAACACCCACACAAGTAGAGAGGGGGGGGGCGGCGGTGGCGGCGGGAGGGGAAGTTGCTTTAAGTCACGTCACTCTGAGCAGAAAAAACCATAGTCTTTTCAGAATGAGAAGGAAGCGTTGGGGAGTACACAAGTGATCTTCGAGCCCCTGGTGCGCATTGCCAATTTTACTGAACCTCCACTGATTCGCAATGCGCCCGTAAGATTATGAGTCTGCTCCATACGAATCCGCCAAAAAGCATTGCTGAGAGGTGCTTGTCTAGAAAAAAGAGAATATTTGTCAGTCCACATAGACTGGGAACTGTCCTAGGTACAGCCTTCAGACGCAATAACTACGAAAAAACCAAAAATCCAAAAAATAAAAACTTTCAAGGTCTTCATTTCACATTTGAGGAAACCCCTGATCAAAGGTAGCAAGGTATGACTGCATTGAGTTCCAAAAGTTGCATGTGAACGGAAGCAAGTCGGCCGTAGGAGAATGATACGGAGACCACATTCTAGTTCAGGACAACAGTTCATAAATCTAAGTATCTTTCAGAAAGCAGCTGAAGGACACTAAGCGTGACAACGGAGGGCTACCTCCAAATGCATACTCCTTCCACACCAAGGTCGTCAAATGCATAATCGAAACAGAAAGAGTTTGAGGTTTAAAATAATGCTACACTGGAGTGTGTTCAGGTCTCACTTTCTGTTATCTTTACATTCTTCCAACCAAGTCAAATTCCTGGGGAATTTATTCAAGGCACAAATACACGACATTTCGAGACTGGAAAGGTGACATGTCCGACGTGGAAACCCACTTGCGACGAGAAAACAACAATGCTGTGTTTTAACAACTCTCCAGCTTTCATGTAGCAAGTATGCTCATTCAAGACCTGTCCCGTCACAATGCTGATAATTCTGGGTGTCATTGCGCTATCAGCTGTCCATAGCGAGAATACAAAAATGCAGGTCATTCCCACTAAATCCTCTCCTCAGCCAGAGGCATCAAGCTCACGGAACGTCGAGCTTCTAATTCTAAGACTGTCAATTCGCCGCGAACACAATCAAATTCGAAAAGAAAAGAAAATGAAAATAAAAGAAAGAGCAAAGACCACACGCTTTCTCACCAGCATATGCACACCTTATCCCTTCTCAACAGCACACTACCTAAAAAAACCCCGGCGCCTCCAAAACCAGATACCTCAATAACTCCCACAACAAACTACTCAAACTTGCAAAACTCACTCCGACCCCGTGACCACAGGGCAACTGAAACCTCCACCACCCATACACCATGCACCCAATACCACAACAAGCTAAACAGAGACAAAAAAAAACAAAACGAAACGAAACGAAACGAAGGAAAAAAAAAAAAAAAAAAAAAAAAAAAACACAATTGCAAGTCTCCCAGGTCCTCCTCCTCTCACCTGCATCGCTCCTCCTCCGCCGAGCTATATCACTCCGACAAAGGACTGCGTCACTTGCAACCAACGGAAACGCCAGAGACCCATTCACAACCCCCAAGTTCACCACACCGCGGTTGCAAATCACAAGATATCTATCTCAGAAGGGAGTTCAAACCCAATGCCCAGCATGGCAGACCAGCCGCTCCACGTTACTGCTGTGCAGGGACTGTCCATAGACCCAGAGGATCAGCAGAAAATCTGCGGGTGACAGAGCAGGGGACCAGAGAGCACGGGCGACACGGACGAACGGACGACGCGCGCAAGCGGAAGGAAAGAAAGAGGACGAAGTGAATATGTTCCACTACAGCTCTCCACACACCATCATCCACTCCGATGCTGCAGCTGCTTCAACAGCAAAACTCTGAAAACAGCGCTACACTCTACCCAGTTGTGCATATTATACCAATATCGCACTGTTGTAGGTCACTGCAGTTTCCGAGTATTCATTTCAGCTGGCGGCCACGCTTGCCGAGCCAGATCCGCTCACCACCACTACCACCACCGAGAACAGGCAATCTTTGCAAGTTTGGTACCGTAGAGGAGGCGTTCCAGTGCACCTGCTCATGTTGACGACTGCAGTACATATACTGCCATGACAATAATACCCGCACAACACTAACAACTACAACTACAACAAACAAAAATTAGAGAAAAACAAAAATAAATATAAATATTTTGTGAAAAAAGAAAGAATTGCGGCACGTTGAGGGTGGTGGTGGTGGTAGTTTTCTGGACCGTCGTTTCTCCTGATTTGCTGCTGCTGCTGCCCTCTGCCGTGATAAAGCTCTGCGTCTTCGTCACTATCAAGTCCTTTTACGCGTCAGGCGAGGCGGTACAACACCTGCAGGCCAAATTATTTTGCCTGTTGATGAGAAGTGATTGCTGTAACTTTCAGTGTGCTGAAGATATTGTGTTTCATTTCTTGCATGCTCCCCCCACCCTTCTCGTTTATGAGGATTGCATTCTCTCCTCCTCCTCCTCCTTCTCCAACTTCTTTTGTTTTGTTTTCGCTATTCTTTTAGCTATTCTTTTCGATATTTTTTGTGCATTTTCTGTGTTTTTGAATCCAGAGGTGCATAGCATGTGTTGTTTATTTTCTACCAAATCTGCCGCATGCCAGTTCGGGCATTTAGGAGGTTGAGTGCCGCTGATCTATGAAACTGCAACTTTGGAACGCTAACCTCTCATTCTGAGTGCCTTGCATTAATACCCACAACTTTTCATGTGTATTTTTGTGTTTGTTGTTAAGGAAATCCAGCTAGCTACTTCACCTTTGGTGTATTTCTGCAGCTGTGCTTTTGGTTCGTGTTTGTAACGTACTTCTTTTGACCTACAATCCTGCAACAATTGTTATCCTTATGCAATATTTTTTCCCATTATGATGTTTGAGTTGGCAAATTGGATTCTTAAACTGGGCTAGTGAAAGCAGTAACATGAATCTCACTGATACAGCACTCAAAAGGAAGTGAAAAATCACTGAATTTAATAAAAGTTGTGAGCAGATGTTTAAGTGTGAAATTGGTTACCTTTATGCTTAAGAAATTGGTTACCTTTATGCATAAAGGTGTTTAGGTGTATAAAGATAATACATTGTAAATTATGACATTTAAAATGGAATTTTAGGAAGTTTTTAGAATTCATGGAGAAGGTAATAAGCCATAACTTTCAAAGATTTTGATTGATTGAATTGAGAAGTTTTCTTTGGTTACCTTTATGCTTAAGAAATTAAGCTAAAAAGCTACAAGAGGAAAAAAATAAAATAAAGTAGAATGTATTTTTTTCCAATATGGCATAAACAACATATTTCTTTGCAATTTAAGGTCCTTCTTGGGACATGATTCTTACATAGAAATTTAAAATTATATAAATTTCTTGTAAAAATAACTATAAATTTTAAATTAAAAAATTATGTTTATTTTACTAGTAAAAACTATGATATTATTTCTAAAACCCAAGGCTTCTAAATAAGATTTTTTTTTTTTTTTTTTTTTATTTCTTTCTCTGATAGGATAATCTTCATAAAACTTGTATATCATGGCTTTTCAAAATGGGCTTTTAGTTATAAAGACTATCTCATAATATTTTTGGAGACATATTTTTGAATTGAATAACATTGATCTAAAAAAACTCAAAAAAAAAAAAAAACAAAACAAAACAAAACAAAACAAAAAACAAAACTCACAAAATATAGATTTTGTTGGAAAAAATAAAATAAATAAATGAATATTCTATTACTTGCATATTATTGTTAATTTTGTACTTATAATTAAATATTAATGAAAATTAATATTAAAATTTATACCATGATATTTTGAAGAATTTAAAATTAATTTTTATAACAAAATTATTAGTTTACTGGCTTGCATACTATTCTAAGTTTAGAAAGTTTAATAATAATATCTTTCAAATGCAAAATTAGAAAACATCTGTTTTAATTTTTATCAAATTAAATATAATCTAAAATTAAATTTAATCACCATATTTTTTAGATAGTATAATTACATTTATATTTTTAATTTTAAAAAATAATGAAGCAAAAAGAAATTTTAATTAAATATATATATATATATATATTAAAAATAAATTTTTAATAAAAAATAATAATTCCAAATATCTTCAATTATATCAAATTAAATATCACAAAAAAAATATTACTATGAATATTTATAATAATATTAAATATTATTTAAGCACAATTTATTACATATAATCAAAATTTATGTATAAAAATAGTGAAATACATTTTAAGAACTTTAATCTACAAACAAACAAGTTATAAGTCATTCTCAACCAAAGGTTTCACACAATGTTTAGTTTTTTATACAATTCTTTTTAGATCACATTTTAATATAAAAAAATGCAATCTGAAAATAATAGTCTAAATATACTACATTTTGTTACCATATCTTATATTAATCTACCCTTCCAATAAGAAGTATCATAAAAGTGGATGGATGCTCTTCAAAGATGTTTATTAAGTAATGGCTCGTACATTGTTGTATGCTTACAAGTCCTCAAACATGTGTATATTCTTAGAAATTTATATAAATAGGTTAAGAAGATATATAATAATAGTATAAGATTTTAAAAAATCTCCAAATCTTTTAATGAATATATTTGTCTCATAATCTTAAAATATCTTGAAATTTACAAGAAATTATTAAATTACATGTCTAATATTTAGATCTTGCTCTTAATAATTATTTTATAAAAAATCAATACTATAATGTTTTAATTGCATAAAAAAATTGAAAGACATAATTTAATTACAATATAGATTTCAAAATACTCTATATTTGATGATGTTATGATTTTAAGATTATGGTACAATTTTGTTAAAGATTGTAAATATTAAAAGAACATATAAAATTAGGATGTAAAAAAATATATTCTAGGATAAATAAATGATTTTAAGTATTAAAAGTGTAATATTAATAAGTATAGAAATAATATTTTTAATGAAAAAAATTACAAAATCACATTTAAATATTGAACAAGAATAATTTTAAAAACCAAATAAAAATAAATAATTTTTTTTATTATTATCAACTGAAAAAATAAATTTTGGACTTAAAGCAGTCAATGTGAATTATTAAAAATATAAAAATAGTATATATATAAATATATATATATATATATATATATTAAATCTTATAATTTATTATGAATTAAAGACAATGTTATTAATATGTCAAAAAAATTGGAATAGTAAAAAAAATCATTTATTTATTTTTAAGCTTTTTTAATTTATAAATTGTATTATTATATATATATATATTAAGAAAAAATTATAATAATTTAGTTTAAATAATAATTTAATAAATTTTTGAATACTAGTGATAAACTTGTTGAAAGAAATGATGGTTTTTGTTAGATGTAACATGATTTTATGAAGAATTTACAACCAAATGACCTTAAGCAAAAGTTGAAGTGGATCATAATGTTTTTTTTTTTTTTTTTTTTCCAAATAATTTGAGAGTTTTTTTTTTTTTACTTTCTGTGCATGCCAATGGATATATCCTGAAAGCATTTAAATCCTAAGTTTCAAGGAAGATGTTAGTGCAACAACGGTGTATATTTTATGATCAATTTCTTACTGCTTTAATAAGACAACAACAGTCAATCTAATATATATGTATTCTCAATAAAAAAAAAAAAAGTTGCAATAAAACCTCTGTGAAAAGTATATATAGTGATCATATTGTTTCATAATGAAACAACAATTCCATGTGTGCCAGGGTGTATGTGAATGTACTAATTAGGGTGTTTAATGCCAGTTTATTTTCAATTTTCTTTGTAACCCTATATTTATTTTTTAAAACAAGTTCTACAAAGTAGTGTTATTGCCAAGTGTGATATTACAGTGAAGTGGTGTTGTGTTTATTACTGTTAAGATTCACTCTTGTCTTCATAAGTTATTTGCCAATTGCCTCAGTGGGTATTGTGAATGATATTTAAGAAGAGTAGTTCTTCATTTGTTAGACTAATTTATTATTTTCTGAAAATCTAAAAGCAACTGTTAAGTGTAATGAGCCTATTATTGCTAGTAACTGCTTAGATAAGGATCAAAGATTCGCATTTCAAATTGGTCCCAGTTCTCAATCAGTTTGTCATTCAAATGAAAAATAAAATAAAATAAAAAAAGAGAAATAATAACAATAATAATAATGTAATGTCGCACAGTTGTAAGTGCAAACAATTTTGATATCTTTTGGTTCTTCCAAAATATGAACTCTGTTCAAAGTAGTTCCCCTGACAAAATAAAGACAAGGAAAGAGTTCTTTCAATTTCTTTCAATTTTTATTGTTTTGTGTTGCCACTTTGACTATATATATACATATACACATATGTGTGTGTTTATTTATTTGTT